TGACAAGTATTGATTAAATGTTGACGTTAAGACAGGTAATCTTAGCGTATAACTGAAGCTAAGGATGAGCTAGAAAAAAACAGGGGTCTGGAGACTCCAGTGCAAATAGTTGACGTGTTTATTTTATTAATGCGTACTGGAAGTTTAAAGGTCAACCCTGTATTAAATCGGGCACAATGAAGCGTTCTTCTTCGTCAAACCAATTAACTCCGGATTTGTGTTTTGTTTTAAACAGAATTACCCTAATCATCTTCAAAAACTTTTAAGTTTATTTTATGCTAGAAATACTTCAGTATCGTTATAACACGAATTATTTATCGACATTGTTTTACATTACAATCAGTGTCAGACTACAGGTTTAAGTACATTATATAAATTTAATTTTCCGTTCAGAAGCGGCAAACTACAGAGCCCATAGCTTCTGTGAGGATGCCGGTGTCATGTCATGACCACGCAAGATTAATACAATGGCGCCTTTCCATATATATATATACAAGTCAGCTTGGGAGAATTGTCCGTTTGCATTACTTGACAGTGTTAAGATCTGCAATTTTTCTCAGCTTATCAGTCTTAAAACCAAATTAATCTATATTGTTTATCGGCTTTTCATACATTGTTTTGTGTCAGATTTATATAATACTTTATGAGGACATTTTACATGTACCTTTTACGAACAATTTATACACTGCTTGTCTGTGGACAATCCATGGTATCAGTGTTTTTTTTGTGTGAAGCTAACAACGTTTTGTACAAATTACGTTTTAACCTACAAATACCCAGTTCGTCTCTCGTGCTACCAAATGCGGTGACTGGAAATTACTTCGTTAAAATCACTCGCTTAATTGGTGTTGACTCGTCCGAACTAGTATGGGTAAGCAATGGTATATATTTAGAATATAGCCAATTTACCAAAAATCGGATGAGGTAATTTATTTTGTCGCCGTTGCCTAGATGAGGAGTGAACCGCGGCGCGTGGAACACGGCCCTTTGTACCGCACGCTAGAGAATCTGTTAATTGTCAACACCAAATCATTTTCCTAAGCACAATACTTTCGGAAATATACTTTTGAAATATGTTACTGATTGTTTCATTAAAAACTTTTTCATTGTATTTTCAAGCGGTAACACAATCTCCAACACGCGCATCGAGTGTGCTCAACTTTGTTTTGGACAGGATTGTATTGATTTTTTTTTTTAAATGTGCAACACATCATCTGAAATGTGATTTGTTATACCTTTGTGTGCTTGTATTTGTTATTCACAATTGTGATATCTAATTTGCAAAAACTGACAAAGGTCTATACCAGTATCTCCAAACGTAGCATACAACTGTCTAATTGGCTGCAACGATGGTTTTGAACAGGGCATTCAAGATTTCTAATGTTTACATAAATCATGGCCTCCAAGTTTGAAACCACTATATTAAAGTCTTGAAGACTTAAATGAAAGTCTCTGAGGCGACATTCCAGCTCTGCAATGCTTAAACATCTTGATATCTTGTTATAAATAAAACCGGAGTGTCTAAGACGGAAACAAACGTTTTTGTTTTTTAATTTGTTTTTAAATAGTCATACTCGTACAAGGCTTAAAGAAAGGCATTGCTATCCAACAGACTTAGCTTCCCCCTTGTAACGGAGATATCCCATACAATTAGAACTATGTGAGATATCTCCATTGTTTCTAAGATATCTTTTAAATTAATAAATATTTACATCAGGCATTGAATATTAAATCGGCTTGCAGTCCAATCTGACGCTCTCAAAGCCTTTTGTCAAAATGACATCGCCGACGGTGACAATGGATGTGGATTAACAAAAGCCTAGCTGCCCGGAGTGACCTGGCTATCGGCCGACAGCATAGCTGTCTTACCCATCCAATCACGACAACTTATATTATATCATCGCCCCAGCTTTGTCTAGACAGACATATTCATTGCTCAAGCTGAGCAACAGCATATTCTACTCCGTATCCCATTTATCATTTTTGGACGAATCTTCATGTCATTTTCCCCAGCTTTATTTAGCATATTACTTTAGGCTTCAGTTTTTTTCGGTATATTTTAATCTTGTCCTGTTTGGTATCTTCTCCTATAGCAGGATTTAGAAATACTGTACAGTATGTGAAATTCTAATTAAACTTATATATACGTATGTGGATGTGTACTTGGAGACCATCCGGTTATAATGAAAAACTTCACGTTAAAGCATTATCGTGACTTCATTATTTGTCGGGACATTTTGTCCTTAACGTTGTTCGCACATGCGGTCATTGTAAATTCTGCCTTCGGCTTACGCTATCCTGGAGTCTTATTGTTTTTAAATATTAGTTATATCCTATTATATTTTTATTTCTTTTGTTTTTATGAGTGTTCTGTGTATCGATAAAGGAGCGGATTCCTCCGAAAATTTGACCACATCATATTGCGTACACTGTTGGAATAACTTCAACAACCATTTGGACCATATCGTGATCATTTGCTATGGTACCTATATATGATATACAAACATTTAAATAAACTAGAACAGATGATATACTTTTATTTTGTCAGAAGAAAGAATTAAATTATTAACGAAAGTTGTCTCCCCATTAAAGATCCCTGTCCCGCTGCGGGTAAAACACTACAGAACTCCACACAAGTTTTTCGTACAAATGGACATACAGTAAAATATAGAAACATAGATTGCAAGCACATAACCTTAATATAGAGACAGGTAGATATCATGCAGTGTCTCGAAACCGAAGATTGTGTACTTTATGTGGTCTTGGAGATCTCGAGGATGAGTTTCATTTCATTCTTGTGTCCTGTATTTTTAGAATAAAGAGTATCTAATATCAAGCCATATTCACGTATTCGTCCTTCTGTGTTTAAATTAATAGAGCTACTGTCTAGCAAACATTTTAAACTTATTAGAAGTTTTAAGTAAGTACTTAAGTCAGGCAACTGTTAAGAGAAGTCGTATATTATGCTATATAAGCTGTATTAAAGTCTTGCTATAAACGTTTTGTTACTGTATAATGTGATTGAGATCTATGTCTTTTACTTATCAATGAGTTATAATCTCAATTTATTATATAATATGTAGTAATCGTTCTACCTTCATGTTGAGGTTGTATGATTGACTTTTGTAGTTTTGTTATTTCCTAGAAATATGGTAAGCTTAAAGCTTAATTTGTATTATTTCATAAACAACTAAATTGTGCTTCCTAATTAGAGTCCGCTAAGTTACCTTAGGAAAAGCTTCAAGTTTTCCCCAACTTACGACTATTTCATGAATTTGTAATTATTATGTATGGAATTGAATCTATTGCATATGTTCCCCGCCATTGTACAAGATATTTGTGAAGTATTGATCAAAATGTATATTTCTGTACGCCTATATCCAATGTGCATTTGGTAATAAATTTAGTTTAATCGAATTGAAAAGTAACCTTGTTCTTGATTTTATTTTTGATATAACTGTAGTACGACTAAACCAGGACAGGTCAGTTCAGGTATAGAGCGACAGTAGGAAAATAGGGGCCAGGGTTCGAAACCTAGTCTGGCCTCGTAGAACTTTTATAAAATAGAAAATTACGTTTATTTATTATTTATTTATGTATTTATAAAGGTAAATATAAATTCATATATTTATTTATTTTCAAATTTGATCATATTTTTTTAACTCCGTAATTGGTGTTGTTGTTGTTGTTTTTTTGTTTTTTTTAGAATTCATCAAATTTATGTTCTATCATGTTTTGTCAGCGGTACGGGGATCCTTAATCTCTCCAGGTCAGTCAGTTCACTGTACAACAGTATAATAACTATTTAAGTCTATGTCATGGTGTCTGGTTCTCATCATCTCGTATGTTTTATGCCTGGTTTTAACAGTTGATCTTTCCGCAACAATGAAAATAAGAAATCTACAAAAAATACAGAAAGAACAATGGCGATTTTTGTATGCAAGAATTTACATTCCAACAAAATACGCCATTGTTCTGTGATAGAAAGCAAGATCTGTAAAAAAAAAATACAAAAATACAGAGCGACCCCACATCAGTTGTGGGAGAGTTAATGTGTAAAGACATTTATGGATGTGTTACATTAGCGCGTGTCCAACAAACTATTTGCATATAGATAGACCGGCGTCCAGTTCTTGGCCGTGACCTCAAGTCTTGACCATCAACTATCAGGCAAATGACCGTCCTTAGGATTTTTTATACAACATATGACACGCGCTTGTAAACCACTCACAACTTCAATGTCAACTTATGTTAACAAGCTGTGTTACGTAATTGCTTAACTTTGACACTTGCACAGCCAAACATCACCTTAATTGTTTTTTAAAACATTCTAGTATACCTTAATCGATTAACGTTACATGAAAATGAGTGTTAGGCGCTGAATACAAAATGTTAATTACATGGTGCAATTAGTTTTAATCCATGGATTAAATACTATTTGTTTAATTAATTTATAAAAATGATTTATGGAGAATTCTAATTAACTTTTTAATTTATAATCAAGTCTTTAAATAGAAACGCGCTCAGCATCCATGTCTGTCTTCTTCTTCCACGTTTTACGAACTATTTTTGGTTTGAATCTCACATTTTTTAAATTTTCGTGAATTATTTTTAAAGAAAAACGAGCTTTTCCAGTTACACAAGATTGGAGATTTTATGTGCTTTACTTTAACATATTATGTTATACCTCAAAGTACATGTATGAGAATTAGACACATGTCTTTTAATTAGCTTAACAGGTAGACCCGTTCATATAAACATTTGTACATAAACAGTTTTTTATACTCTTATAATGTAGCATAGGTATATGAAGATAAAGAATTTCGGGCACTGATCAGTTTTCACTATTAGTGTGTATTGTACAACGCTGAAGGAGGCAATCCAAAATGGCGGTGACCTTCTTTGAGACGAGTCTCGCACCCGTCGCCCCGGGCGAGACAGGCCGTGTGACAGGGGCTGACACTTAGGCCCCGTGTTACTCTGTTTAGAGCCGTCACAGACCTGGGACATGTAGGAGGCACAAGACAACACTGTTCATACACCTCTAGTTTACAGTCCACACACGATCCGTGGACATGCTTGCACCGTTTTGCAATTTGTGTCACTCCAGTTTGTTTCCTGGGGACACGGTGCACAAAATACCATCAGAGCAAGAAAGGAAACTAAGAAAATTGAACCAAATTTAAAATACTGGAGTGAGGAAACAACTTTCGAATCAACCGGAAATGCAATTATTGGATTAAATTAACCGAAAGTGCACTAAAGCGTCAGGTTTGGCGGGATCAGCAAGTCTCGGGAATATCAACCAGACACGTTCGATCTTCAGCAGATTCCTCCCTTTGTCTTCTCATCCATAAATACATCTAAGCGACTTAAACGCGACTACTTTTGTAAAAAAATCTCCAAATAAAAAAATGATGCTTTAGAATTAACGAAATTAATCAAGAAAGGTTCACATACAGGGCATAACAATGTAAGAATAACCACAAAGAATGTGCCGGAATTCGTGGCTTGAGTGTTGACTCTTAGAACTATTCATGGTGCTCTGAGGAGCGCATGAAAAGCGAGGTATGGAAAGATCAGTGCTTGGGACGTTATTTTATATTTTATCCTGTTTTTGTGTAACCATTTATGGACATGCAAGGCTATGGGAGCCCCCAGGAAGGTCCTCAATGTGGAAACGAGGTTTTCCTACACCTGTTAACACAAATGACAACGAACTCAACTGTGGAGGATATCAGGTAAGCAACGTGTATTGTTAATAATAACAGGAAAGGGACGTGTACTGTACTGCTAGAGAAAACAGGTAAGTGACGTGTACTGTACTGTTAGAGATAACAGGAAAGGGACGTGTACTATTAAAGATAACAGGCAAGGGAGGTGTACTGTACTGTAAGAGATATCAGGTAAGCAACGTGTATTGTTAATGATAACAGGTAAGGGACGTGTACTGTACTGTTAGAGAAAATAGGTAAGTGACGTGTACTGTACTGTTAGAGATCACAGGTAAGGGACGTGTACTGTACTGTTATAGAAAATAGGTAAGGGACGTGTACTGTACTGTTAGAGTTAACAGGTAAGGGACGTGTACTGTACTGTTATAGAAAATAGGTAAGGGACGTGTACTGTACTGTTAGAGTTAACAGGTAAGGGACGTGTACTGTACTGTAAGAGATAACAGGTAAGGGACGTGAACTGTACTGTTAGAGAAAACAGGTAAGTGACGTGTACTATTAAAGATAACAGGTAAGGGAGGTGTACTGTTCTGTTAGAGATAACAGGTAAGGGACCTGTACTGTACTGTTAGAGATAACAGGTAAGGGACGTGTACCGTACTGTTAGAGATAACAGGTAAGGGACGTGAACTGTACTGTTAGAGAAAACAGGTAAGTGACGTGTACTATTAAAGATAACAGGTAAGGGAGGTGTACTGTTCTGTTAGAGATAACAGGTAAGGGACGTGTACCGTACTGTTAGAGATAACAGGTAAGGGACGTGTACTGTACTGTTATATAAAATAGGTAAGTGACGTGTACTGTACTGTTAGAGATAACAGGTAAGGGACGTGTACTGTACTGTTAGAGATAACAGGTAAGGGACGTGTACTGTACTGTTATAGAAAATAGGTAAGTGACGTGTACTGTACTGTTAGAGATAACAGGTAAGGGATGTATACTGTACTGTTAGAGAAAACAGGTAAGAGACGTGTACTGTACTGTTAGAGATAACAGGTAAGTGACGTGAACTGTACTGTTAGAGAAAACAGGTAAGTGACGTGTACTATTAAAGATAACAGGTAAGGAAGGTGTACTGTACTGTTAGAGTTATCAGGTAAGCAACGTGTATTGTTAATGATAACAGGTAAGGGACGTGTACTGTACTGTTAGAGATAACAGGAAAGGGACGTGCACTATTAAAGATAACAGGTAAGGGAGGTGTACTGTACTGTTAGAGATAACAGGTAAGGGACGTGAACTGTACTGTTAGAGATAACAGGTAAGGAACGTGTACTGTTAGATATAACAGGTAAGGGACGTGTACTGTACTGCTGGAAATAACAGGTAAGTGGCATGTACTGTTAGAGAAAACAGGTAAGGAACGTGTACTGTTAGATATAACAGGTAAGGGACGTATACTGTACTGTTAGTGTACTGTACTGTTATAGAAAATAGGTAAGGGACGTGTACTGTACTGCTAGAAATAACAGGTAAGTGGCATGTACTGTTAGAGAAAACAGGTAAGGAACGTGTACTGTTAGATATAACAGGTAAGGGACGTGAACTGTACTGTTAGAGATAACATGTAAGGGACGTGTACTGTACTGTTATAGATAACAGGTAAGGGACGTGTAATATTAAAGATAACAGGTAAGGGAGGTGTACTGTGCTGTTAGAGATAACAGGTAAGGGACGTATACTGTACTGTTATAGAAAATAGGTAAGGTAAGGGACGTGTACTGTACTGCTAGAAATAACAGGTAAGTGGCATGTACTGTTAGAGATAACAGGTAAGTGACGACTGTTATAGAAAATAGGTAAGGGACGTGTACTGTACTGCTAGAAATAACAGGTAAGTGGCATGTACTGTTAGAGAAAACAGGTAAGGAACGTGTACTGTTAGATATAACAGGTAAGGGACGTATACTGTACTGTTAGAGATAACAGTACAGTTCACGTCCCTTACCTATTTTCTATAACAGAACAGTACACGTCCCTTACCTGTTATCTTTTACAGTACAGTACACTTCCCATACCTATTATCTCTAACAGGACAGTACACGTCCCTTACCTGTTATCTTTTACAGTACAGTACACTTCCCATACCTATTATCTCTAACAGGACAGTACACGTCCCTTACCTGTTATCTTTTACAGTACAGTACACTTCCCATACCTATTATCTCTAACAGGACAGTACACGTCCCTTACCTGTTATCTTTTACAGTACAGTACACTTCCCATACCTATTATCTCTAACAGGACAGTACACGTCCCTTACCTGTTATCTTTTACAGTACAGTACACTTCCCATACCTATTATCTCTAACAGTACAGTACACGTCCCTTTCCTGTTATCTTTAATAGTACACGTCCCTTTGCTGTTATCTCTAACAGTACAGTACACGTTTCTTACCTGTTATCTTTAACAGTACAGTACACTTCCCTTCCCTGTTATCTCTAACAGTACATGTCCCTTACCTGTTATCTCTAACAGTAAAGTACACGTCCCTTACCTGTTATCATTAACAGGTAAGGGACGTGTACTGTACTGTAAGAGATAACAGGTAAGCGACATGTACTCTACCGTAAGAGATAACAGGTAAGGGACGTGTACTGTTCTGTTATAGAAAATAGGTAAGGGACGTGCACTGTACTGTTAGAGATAACAGGTAAGTGACGAGTACTGTTAGAGATAACAGGTAAGGGAAGTGTACTGTACTGTTAAAGATAACAGGAAAGGGACGTGTACTGTACTGTTAGAGAGGACGTGTACTGTACTGTTAGAGATAACAGGAAAAGGACGTGCACTATTAAAGATAACAGGTAATGGAGGTGTACTGTACTGTTATAGATAACAGGTAAGGGACGTGTAATATTAAAGATAACAGGTAAGGGAGGTGTACTGTTCTGTTAGAGATAACAGGTAAGTGACGTGAACTGTACTATTAGAGAAAACAGGTAAGTGACGTGTACTATTAAAGATAACAGGTGAGGGAGGTGTACTGTTCTGTTAGAGATAACAGGTAAGTGACGTGTACTATTAAAGATAACAGGTAAGGGAGGTGTACTGTGCTGTTAGAGATAACAGGTAAGGGACGTATACTGTTAGAGATAACAGGTAAGGGACGTATACTGTTAGAGATAACAGGTAAGGGACGGGTACTGTACTGTTAGAGATAACAGGAAAAGGACGTGCACTATTAAAGATAACAGGTAAGGGAGGTGTACTGTACTTTTAGAGATAACAGGTAAGGGACGTGTATCGTACTGTTAAAGATAACAGGTAAGGGACGTGAACTGTACTGTTAGAGAAAACAGGTAAGAGACGTGAACTGTACTGTTAGAGATAACATGTAAGGGACGTGTACTGTACTGTTATAGATAACAGGTAAGGGACGTGTACTGTTAGAGGTAACAGGTAAGGGACGTGTACTGTACTGTAAGAGATAACACTGTACTGTTAGAGATAACAGGTAAGTGACGACTGTTATAGAAAATAGGTAAGGGACGTGTACTGTACTGTAAGAGATAACACTGTACTGTTAGAGATAACAGGTAAGGAACGTGTACTGTACTGTTATAGAAAATAGGTAAGGTAAGGGACGTGTACTGTACTGCTAGAAATAACAGGTAAGTGGCATGTACCGTTAGAGAAAACAGGTAAGGAACGTGTACTGTTAGATATAACAGGTAAGGGACGTATACTGTACTGTTAGAGATAACAGTACAGTTCACGTCCCTTACCTATTATCTATAACAGTACAGTACACGTCCCTTACCTTATCTATAAAAGTACAGTACACGTCCCTTACCTGTTAATGATAACAGGTAAGGGACGTGTACTGTACTGCTGGAAATAACAGGTAAGTGGCATGTACTGTTAGAGATAACAGGTAAGTGACGTGTACTATTAGAGATAACAGGTAAGGGACGGGTACTGTACTGTTAGAGATAACAGGAAAGCGACGTGCACTATTAAAGATAACAGGTAAGGGAGGTGTACTGTACTTTTAGAGATAACAGGTAAGGGAAGTGTACTGTAAGAGATAACAGGGCATGGACGTGTACTGTTTGAGATAACAGGGAAGGGGTGTGTACTGTATTGTAAGAAATAACAGGTAAGGGAGGTGTACTGTAAGAGATAACAGGTAAGCGACGTTTAATGTACTGTAAGAGATAACCTGTACTGTTAGAGATAACAGGTAAGGGAAGTGTACTGTAAGAGATAACAGGTCATGGACGTGTACTGTTTGAGATAACAGGTAAGGGGTGTGTACTGTATTGTAAGAAATAACAGGTAAGGGAGGTGTACTGTAAGAGATAACAGGTAAGCGACATGTACTCTACCGTAAGAGATAACAGGTAAGGGACGTGTACTGTACTGTAAGAGATAACAGGTAAGCGACGTTTAATGTACTGTAAGAGATAACAGGTAAGGGACGTGAACTGTACTGTTAGAGATAACAGGTAAGGAACGTGTACTGTACTGTTATAGAAAATAGGTAAGGGACGTGCACTGTACTGTTAGAGATAACAGGTAAGGGACGTGTACTGTACTGTTAGAGATAACAGGTAAGGGAGTACTGTTATAGAAAATAGGTAAGGGACGTGAACTGCACTGTTAGAGATAACAGGTAAGGGACGTGTACTGTACTGTAAGAGATAACAGGTAAGGGACGTGTACTGTACTGTTATAGATAACAGGTAAGGGACGTGTACTATTAAAGATAACAGGTAAGGGAGGTGTACTGAACTGTTAGAGTTATCAGGTAAGCAACGTGTATTGTTAATGATAACAGGTAAGGGACGTGTACTGTACTGCTAGAGATGACAAGTAAGTGACATGTACTGTTAGAGATAACAGGTAAGGGACGTGTACTGTACTGCTAGAGATGACAAGTAAGTGACATGTACTGTTAGAGATAACAGGTAAGGGACGTGTACTGTTCGAGATAACAAGTAAGGGACGTGTACTGTACTGTTAGAGATAACAGGTCATGGACGTGTACTGTTAGAGATAACAGGTAAGGGACGTATACTGTTAGAGATAACAGGTAAGGGACGTGTACTGTACTGTTAGAGATAACAAGTAAGGGACGTGTACTGTACTGTTAGAGATAACAGGTCATGGATGTATACTGTTAGAGATAACAGGTAAGGGACGTGTACTGTACTGTTAGAGATAACAGTACACGTCCATGACCTGTTAGCTCTAACAGTACAGTACACGTCCTTTACATGTTATCTCTAACAGTACAGTTCACGTCACTTCCCTGTTATCTCTAACAGTACACGTCCCTGACCTGTTTTCTCTAACAGTACAGTACACGGCCCTTACTTGTTATCTCGAACAGTACACGTCCCTTACCTGTTAGAGATAACAGGTAAGGGACGTGTACTGTACTGTTAGAGATAAAAGGTCAGTGACGTGTACTGTACTGTTAGAGATAACAGGTAAGGGACGTGTACTGTTAGAGATAACAGTACACGTCCCTTAACTGTTATCTCTAACAGTACAGTACACGTCCCTTACCTGTTAGAGATAACAGGTAAGGGACGTGTACTGTACTGTAAGAGATAACAGGTAAAGAACGTGTACTGTACTGTTAGAGATATCAGGTAAGGGACGTGTACTGTACTGTAAGAGATAACAGGTAAAGGACGTGTACTGTACTGTAAGAGATAACAGGTAAGGGACGTTTACTGTAAGAGATAACAGGTAAGCGACGTGTACTGTAAGAGATAACAGGTAAGCGACGTGTACTCTACCGTAAGAGATAACAGGTAGAGGACGTGTACTGTACTGTAAGAGATAACAGGTAAGCGACGTTTAATGTACTGTTAGAGATAACAGGTCAGGGACGTGTACTGTAAGAGATAACAGGTAAGGGATGTGTACTGTACTGTAAGAGATAACAGGTAAGGGAGGTGTACTGTAAGAGATAATAGGTAAGCGACATGTACCGTACCGTAAGAAATAACAGGTAAGGGACGTGTACTGTACTGCTAGAGATAACAGGTAAGGGACGTGTACTGTACTGTTAAAGATAACAGGTAAGGGACGTGTACTGTACAGTTATAGATAATAGGTAAGGGACGTGTACTGTACTGTTATAAATAATAGGTAAGGGACGTGTACTGTACTGTTATAAATAATAGGTAAGGGACGTGTACTGTACTGTTATAAATAATAGGTAAGGGACGTGTACTGTACTGTTATAAATAATAGGTAAGGGACGTGTACTGTACTGTTATAAATAATAGGTAAGGGACGTGTACTGTACTGTTAAAGATAACAGGCAAGGGACGTGTACTGTACTTTTATAGATAAGGTAAGGGACGTGTAATGTACTGCTAGAGATAACAGGTAAGGGACGTGTACTGTACTGTTATAGAACTGTTAGAGATAACAGGTAAGGGACGTGTACTGTACTGTTATAGATAATAGGTAAGGGACGTGTACTGTACTGCTAAAGATAACAGGTAAGGGACGTGTACTGTACTTTTATAGATAAGGTAAGGGACGTGTAATGTACTGCTAGAGATAACAGGTAAGGGACGTGTACTGTACTGTTAGAGATAACAGGTAAGGGACGTGTATTGTATTGTTATAGATAACAGGTAAGGGACGTATACTGTACTGTTAGAGATAACAGGTAAGGGACGTGTACTGTACTGTTAAAGATAACAGGTAAGGGACGTGTACTGTATTGTTAGTGATAACAGGTAAGGGACGTGTACTGTACTGTTATAAATAATAGGTAAGGGACGTGTACTGTACTGCTAAAGATAACAGGTAAGGGACGTGTACTGTACTGTTAAAGATAACAGGTAAGGGACGTGTACTGTATTGTTATAGATAACAGGTAAGGGACGTGAACTGTACTGTTAGAGATAACAGGTAAGGGACGTGTACTGTACTGTTATAGAAAATAGGTTAGTGACGTGTATTGTTAATGATAACAGGTAAGGGACGTGTACTGTACTGTTAGAGATAACAGGTAAGTGACGTGAACTGTACTGTTAGAGATAACAGGTAAGTGACGTGAACTGTCTTGTTGTAGATAATGTAAGTACGTATACTGTACTGTTAGAGATAACAGGTAAGGGACGTGTACTGTATTGTTGTAGATAAGGTAAGGGACGTATACTGTACTGTTAGAGATAACAGGTAAGGGACGTGAACTGTACTGTTAGAGATAACAGGTAAGGGACGTGTACTGTACTGTTATAGATAACAGGTAAGGGACGTGTACTGTACTGTTAAAGATAACAGGTAAGGGACGTGTACTGTACTGTTATAGAAAATAGGTAAGGGACGTGTACTGTACTGCTAGAGATAACAGGTAAGGGACGTGTACTGTACTTTTATAGATAAGGTAAGGGACGTGTACTGTACTGTTAAAGATAACAGGTAAGGGACGTGTACTGTACTGTTATAGAAAATAGGTAAGGGACGTGTACTGTACTGCTAGAGATAACAGGTAAGGGACGTGTACTGTACTTTTATAGATAAGGTAAGGGACGTGTACTGTACTGCTAGAGATAACAGGTAAGGGACGTGTACTGTTAGAGATAACAGGTACGGGAAGTGTACTGTTAGAGATAACAGGTACGGCAAGTGTGCTGTAATGTTATGTCTATTTGTTAATTCATTGTACTGAACATTTATCTTAGGTAATGTTATTTGCAAATATGAACTTTCAAATGCTTCAATATTTGAAGATCATGGGATTTATATTCAACACCCTATAATTGGCATACGTGTAATTTAAGTATTTGACTGTATTGATATAGCATGAACTGTCTTTATGAATGACACAGTTTTGTAGTATACAGTTAATTCATGCCCTTGTTTTCCCGAGGTGTTTGGACCAACCTGGTGAGCTATTTCCAAAGGCCGTAGGCCGCGGGAATTAGTTCACTTTGTTGGTCCCAACTTCGAAGGAAAACTGTTTTGACTATTGACTGAAAGTACAATTATTTGTATCTTCTACATATAAATATACATGATAAAGGCAACGCAACACATCCCGATAAACACTGCACTGATATTTCTTGAAAACGTTCTCTTTGAGCGATAACAGATGAAAATAGTTTTGACAAATTCATGACTGTACATGAATTACGCTATTTTCACTATGGATATAGTCAAGCTTGTTTTATTACACTTCATATAGAGAGTCAGGTAACAATTTAAACTAATGTATGCATCGTATTCTCTTAATCAATGACTAGAACAGCCATCTCCCAGGGAGGGCCAGTGATATCAAACGTTACACTTATGATGTCATAATTATGATTACGTCACTAGGTGGGCGTTTACATAGGGATTGAATGGATTTTTGTTGCATGTACATTGCGGCAATGAATATTGAACATGGGGGGAAATCCATTCAATTCATATATTTACGTTACGATGATCTACAATAAAAAAAAGATTTGATATTTCTAATATTAGTATCGGTCAGAAAACCATAAAACGGATCAGCCAGAACTCCAGCCTACACACAAACTTCAAATGTTCGACTTCCGCAGATCAGCTGATTTTGTTGAAACGAAAATATATATCTAGAATCTGATAACAACTGCCATTTGACTACGAATACATTATGAATACCAACACTTTATATTCCTTTCATTTTTGAAAGATGATTTTATTTGATGTTTTTTTCGCATTAAACACCACATATTATATATTTCAAATCATCGGTCCTCATAGTAACCATCCAGGGCACTCGTCGGCCGATCACCCGTCGGTAGTAGGCATAGAGCACATTTGAAGTTAAATGTACAGTCGTTTACTGTACTGTTTACCAAGAAACCTGCAGATTTAAATGATGATAAGTTGGTGGCTGAAGTGCCCTGAGTTTAATGTGCAAGTTGATATCACGGGGATTACCCAGCCATGCGTTTGGGTGTTAGCCTAGTTAGTTCGTGACCACGAGGGACCGATTGCGAGTCGGAAGTCAGTATGTAATGACAATGTTATAAGTAATTTATTTAGTTTTAAATTAGAAAGAATATCGATGATAGCACAATGGTGCACCATTCATGATTTTTGTAATGTTAATTATTATTTCTCGCCACTACGTTATCTCGGAGAAGGGAAGATAACTATTCTCAGAAACGTTACTATGCGTAGTAATATGAAGTGGTCGTTGTGTGTGAAATCAGCTGACTGGTTACACGAGAATCGTTGTGTTCATAATATATTCATAGTCAAATGGCAGTTTTTTCAGTTGGCATATTCATGTACAGAACAAACATCAGGAATGCAAATATATGTATATGAATGCCATCTGAATATGTTAGGATTACATAGCAATGCCCTACAGTGGTAAATAGTCGCTATTTCTATTCCAAATTTTGTGATCTGCAATCGAAGTTCTGTTAGTTATATTTAAAAAATGATGATGTAAACAAATAAAATTACTGATATATATTTTACAGAACCTTTGGATAAAATATAATGGAATGTGTGGGATTTGTGGAGATCCATACCAGCAGCACCCACGCGAGAACGAGGCTGGCGGGAAATACGCTACTGGTCTGGTGTCACGTCATTACAAAACCGGTGACATCGCCACATTTGCTGTAGACGTCACTGCCAATCACGAAGGTTATTTCGAGTTTCGGCTTTGTCCTGCAGATGGCGCTGTGACTCAAAAATGTCTGGATAGCTATCCGGTTCCGGTTATCGGTCACCCGTATGGTCGTTATCACCTCAAGACGCACGAGAACGGGATCATTGAAATGCAGGTCAAACTCCCCACCGGTTTGGCATGTGACAAATGTGTCCTTCAGTGGCGATACCGAACGGGTGAGTAATGTGTTTACTGGGGTTTTACGTTAGCTGGAGTTACACAATGGCGGTTCCATGGGGTCTGCCTTTTCATTTAGGCAGAAATTGATTTTTAATTTCTAACATTTCCTTCCTCAACCTCTCTCGATCAGTCTCTACGTCTTCCTCTGTCACTCAACTTTGAAAGAAGCAAGCTAAGTGTGATTAGTAACGGAAATACGACGACCGGTTTTACAGTATTAATAGACGCGCAGCCTAATCGGAAGTTGGTTCAACGAGGGTGCCACTTAGATTAAACATATTTTTTGACAAATCTAAATATTTAGATCGAGCTAAAGTTTGCGAAACTAAACAAGCCCTTTTACCTAATATTCGTTTCACACTTAATATAAACAGGATTGAATTTTAGGTACACGAAATTTAATAATAATTGATATTTTGACTGACAAGAAGAAAGTTAGAAGAGATCATAATAATAATAATAATAATAATATAGCATTTGATATAGCGCCCTAGCTAACATAAGCCACTCTAAAGCGCTTTACAGTACATAGATATACATTTTTATACAGTCAATACAATTATATATATATTAATCAATACAATATTGAGGAATTCGCAGGAACTGCCTTATCAGGCGCTAACTACTAGTCCTATGCAACCTGGCTAATATCTCCATATGTGTGTATGTCTGTGTGTGTGCTGGAGATGTATTGTGTTCTGTTTGTATAGGGACCGTGCTTCCAACGGTATCATTTATAGTGCCACCTTACTTGAATGCTACATCACAGATACCGCAACACCCACCCCAGACAATTGTATACCCCACCTGGGTTATTGGAGTTGTGTGGGCATGAGAAAAACACTTTCTCTAATATTCCATGCGTACGGCGACTTCGGGGATCGTACCCCGGCCGCTTGCTTGGATGGCCGGAGTGTTAACCACTCGTCCAATCAGCCCATGAGGAGCTTATAGAAACGCCAAGGCTTTGAAACAAACTATTAAGACGGAAGTGAAATTTAAAGTATTTTTGTCATCCACTAAGTCATCGACTATCTATAACAGCAGTCTAGGAGGTATAGATTGAAAATGAATTATGAGTTTATTCTTTGGGTAATTTCTTTCTATATTACAACATAGATTAATGATATAGACCTGAGTTAGTATACTAGTACTACCCGTATTTCCAAATATTTGATGAGACTTACACACTAAAACTTTATCTCTGCCGAAGGACTTTATCAGATATTTTAATCCTTTCATCTCTGGGTATAAATTGAAATTTGGTTTGTTTGGCGCATTGGGACCGACCCGACTGCAAAAATTGTATTGATATTTTCTACCGAAATTTATTTTCATGTTTAATCCTGGCAGAAAACACTGCCACATTTAGTAATGAAGATCTGTAAAGGGTTTTACCAACATTTATAGATATGGGATATCTGAGGTGCTTACGTGACTGTCAAGGTGGTGAAACAAAATGGACGCATTGCCTCTGTTGACCTTAGCTTCTTGGAAGAGTTGACTAAAGTAAACTGTTTTTCTTTGTCCCATCCACAAAACGTTTGTACCTACCTACCCACCCAAACAAAAAATCCTTTGTCGGAATACACCAAACAGAAAAATATTTTAATGGTGTCACTGTCTCCAAACTTTGAGGAGGACAGTAGATTAATGTTGGCATATATATCAGAGGAAATGTAGGCCAATGCCGTTACTTTAGGTTATTAATACAAAACGGGTCAAAGTGAACCACATACACTGAGCGTTTCAGTAAAGTACACCTCGTCAAAAGCGACGACACGTTGCCTGTTCTGAGATTAATGGGGTCAGCTAATCCTTCACGTGACCAAGTTCTTCACAATCGAGCTTAACCAAAACAGGCCTGACATTGCTGAAAAATGTATTCTATGTACATCGGAAACATATCAGATAAAAATAAAGTAATATGTGTCGACCAAGACCAAATAGAGCAATTTAAAAGCAATTGAAATAAACAAAGGTGCAAAATAAACGTTTGTTCTCGGATTGAGCAGCAGCATCTCAACAAATATACTCTTTGGTTCTCTCTGAAGAACATACAATTACATATGTGTCTTGTAATGAAAATAAGCTGTACGGCTATTGTAATGAACCAAAACACTTTCAACCAATATAGGCCTTGCAAAGCGGTTTGAACACATACAAGGACCATATTGCTTTTAAAAACGAATACTAGTACATATATACCGGTATACGTGTATGTATCGGGCCGCACTTAAGCCTATAAAACAGGGGATAACACCACTGTATTTTGGAGTTTCACATTACACATCTGCAGCTAAAAATATTTCTGCGTTTAATGATCGATTTCAAGCCATCAAAAAGGACGGTAGATCGCGTATCAGCCGGTAATGTACGGTAGTGCATAGCATATTGGTTTCGTACGGGAAAATCTTGCATGTTAACTGTTTCAGAAAAAGTAAGATAGATGCAGTCTTGCAGGGATAAGGACACTTGAGCATTTTGTTTCTAATTTCAGCTTTTATTGGGAGCATGCTTGTAAAGTGCCTTCGGGGGCATCCTTACGACATGATTCCACGTCCTTAACTACATCTTAATTACCACAGATGAACTTACAAGATCTTCTCTGTTTTGATTTTGAAGCAAAAATCTCTGATTTATGGACGAAAATTTCTTAATTAACTACAGCAAGGTTTGAAATCTCATTTGCTTCATTTGATTATGGTGACTAAATTATCGCGGAGCCAGTGAGACTGAGATTTGTAATGAAACTGATTTAGAGCAACGGAACCATGTTGGGTCAAACGCTAGCATCGCTTGTTTGCAGTTACCATGGTGATGACGGGATGTTTCGACGCCGATAAACAGATAACAATAACGCGATGATGTCTTTGCAAAAATATAATCGTGCGTTGCCTTGGAAACACACTGCCCTATCGTAACCATTATAACGTCATGTAGCATGTTGCGATGTTCAATGAAACCTAGCAGATTTCGCTTTCCTCTTAAGTCTCGTGAGCACAACGAGACGAGGATGGTTGAGCGACAATGTGTCTTATAACGAATACACCCTTCAAGAACTTCGCTAAATAACTCATTCTGTGAAGTGTATGTCAAAACTTGTCGCCGAAACACTCAAGACCGTTAATGAAGTAGGTCACAGTGTGCGCACTGACCGTGTCAATGAATGCCAGTGCATCATGTATTATTATCTGGAGTTCTCGCGCTCTTTCGAGACTGTCATCATCAGTGACAACGGTCATCACTTTAACCTACTCGGTCAATTTGAAAGTACCTCAAATCAACAATTAATGCCTCAGTGTCAACGTGTCACCGAACGGACGTCAAAATTGCTGTCAGATCATAATTGAATATTTTTCTACCGAAATTTTGCAACTGGACTCGCACATGTTTGCACATGCTTCCCTTAAGCAGATCGAGATAACAACTTTTGTACTTTGAAATCAATCTCAAATTGACAACTTTGCATTCTTTACATCATTAAACAGAAAAAATAAAACTTCCGAATAGGCGTCTTTGTAAGATTAAGCGTCAAAGAGGAAACACCACGGTCCCCTCCAATATACATGTAGCTGTAAAAAGTACACGCTGCTCAAGATTCTTAAAAAAGCACTTCGGCAACACAATAAAGTAATCTTTTTCGTCTTCCTACATGTTACATTAAAAACATGTTTTAATTTCATCAGTTTGCCATAAATATAATTATTTTTATCAAATTATTACGTTGTCTTATTGGGCCCAGAGTCACGTATGCACCCGCTGTGAATTTTTCGTTTTACACGTGGTGTTGGTGTTTACAAACAGCTCAAAAACCACAACAGCAGACAGGAACAGTAGTGAAGTTTCAATGCGTCGACTGATGAAGAAATAAACTGTTGCAGATCGATACATGTATCTTCACAAGAAAATATGCAATATTTGCTCCGTGTTGCTTTCCACACAGGGCGCCGCCATCTTGTTACGTATGACTATGAATTCTTGAAAGATGCATTAAGTGTAGCGCAAGGAACCATGGGAGAAACTGATAAAGCATGGTGCTGCTTCAGTAGCTGCTTATGTAAAATTGACGGAAAGAGGCGAGATTTAATGAGCATAGAGGCGATCACGGAGGCGAAATGTTGAACACTGTTTATTGATATCTTTATTTTTGTTTTGTCCTTCGATTTTGGAGAAGAAAATAATATCACAAAATAATCTTGCAATTATTAACTTTCCTCTATATAAACGTCAGGAAAGTCAAGCGTTCCATCGTTATGTACATAAGTATAACTTCTTTCGGTTCTAGCGAAAATAAAAAGAGCACCACTACAATTTTTGTGACATTGTCGGAAAATTGACATCGTTGTCACAAACTAAGAGTACGACCGTGTCAGATCGGTTTGTGGTGATAAGTTTGCTAAACGATACGCAAATCAACACGGCTTTGTTAACATTTTTTTTCTCAAATTTATTTAATTACACTGTAACGTGCGAACGGGCACCCAATGGTCATTCCAGTGTGCCAAAGGCCTTACAAAATACCTCAAGGTCACGACACAGCCACCACGTGTATATACGAGCGGGCAACAACCTATAGCCACCGACCACGCTCGGTGTCGCTTAACTAATAAGCATGTCCCAGGGTTATACCGCATCGTTGGACATTAATGTACTATTTGCCTCATATTCCGTTACTGTCGCCCC